CCGAGTGAGGTAAATAAATGAATTTAAAATCAGAAGGTCTACGTTACAAACCTATCCACTGATTGATGTATTTATTTATCAAATGGTGTAACTATGCAGTAATTTACTTACATAGATACAAGACTTTTTTTTTAACGTCATGATATAGGTTAGGATGGTCACAGACGAGTGTAACTTCGACCACCTGGTTAATTTCGACTGTTCATAAATACCTTAAAATAATTTGTTTATAACCCATTATAGTGTACACACATCTATTTTATGCAGAAAGAAAATGCATTTTTCATATACAAATCAATGTTGATAATAATAGGCGAAATTTATTTCTTTGCTGGAAAATTACATCCAAGAAGAAGCCCGAAAAATAGTGTACACACATCTATTTTATGCAGAAAGAAAATGCATTTTTCATATACAAATCAATGTTGATAATAATAGGCGAAATTTATTTCTTTGCTGGAAAATTACATCCAAGAAGAAGCCCGAAAAATTACGGACGAGTATTTTTAAACCATTGCGGGGAATTATCAGTTTATCACCTCTAAAAATATCTTGTATATACAGAAAGACACAGTGGATATTCCTGGCGTGAAATTTATCAACTATGTTTAAATTTGCAACTTAAATTCATACCTTTTAAATTTATAGTATTTAGTTTTTACAAATAAAATGCAAATCAGCTGAACAGAAATCGGCCGAAGTTACCCTTTGCATGAATACGGCGTCAGCAGGTAACTCAGTTCGACCAATGAAAATGACGCAATGCTATTTGTTACCAGAAAAAAATCATGACCACCATCCGTATAAAAAAAACTTTAAAAAAGTATTAGGATAAGTATTATGTACAAGAATACTCCGTAGAAACTAGTTCTATAACCGTGAAAAAATCATCTGTTTTGTTTACATGCGGTTTAGATGCCTGCGCATATATATAATTGTAGCATGCCTTGACAAATCGGTAAATTAGTCTCTAGGCACCTGGGGGTCGTAACATAAAGCTTGCTAAGTTTTTGACTTGAGTAGGGTCATAAGTATGTTTTAGGTGCAATCTTAAGACCTGCCTAAGTACTACTTAAGTATGTCTTAAACCGTAACATAAAACGGACTTAGGTAGGTCTTAGCTAAGTCAAACTTATGTTCAAAATATTTGTTATGAATCATCCTAGTTTTTCAATTTATATATATATATATTTGTAAAAATGATTTAGTTACGTTTTTAATCACATATATATTAAAGCTGACGTCCTTACCTATCGGTTTTAGCTAGGTTAGATATTAGATTTCGTATTTAATTAAAGTTAATTCTGTTTAAATTATTTGAAATACAATGTATTTGAAAACAAATATTGCACGGCCACAAAGTGGCGCTAGTGGTTCCTTGTAAATGCGTGAATATTGTTTATCACTCGAGAACTGCTATGCTTTCAGTTTACCGTTTGTTGTTATTTTTTCGTTTGACAAATGTTCACTTGCTTTCAAATTGTCATTCTCGCAGACATGGCACGATAACCAAACGCTTGTGTACTTGAAATTGAAACTCTAATAATAAAAAAAACAAAACAATAGGGACATTTTGATTTTTTCCCTCCCATGTCAGCAAGCAGAGAGTGCAGACGTTTTATGATATACTTATTTACAATTTAATGAAGCATGGAAAAGAATTGTTTTCAGAAAATCTCCAACTTATCAACAATTCTCTCTCTCTCTCTCTCTCTCTCTCTAGCGTTAACGGTAGTGAACTCTGTCTGAATACTCGCTTGTTGCGTTCTACATTATAATTTACAGAAAATCTTTATTTGTTTTCTAGTCATCATCCTTTAATTCATCGACAATTTTTAAAATCATTTCATCTCATTTTTTTCACAGTGAACAAACAAAGCCATGATTACTGTATACAATTTACTTATAATGATCAGTGTTTATAACCTAGGTCACACTAATATTTCAAACGTATCCCAAAAATAATATTTTGCATTTACGTGTATATGTCATTTAGAGAGTGATATTGGAATCAGTGATGAATACCCCCCTCCCACCCACCCCCCCCGAAACGAAAAAATAAAATTCTTATATCAGTATATTAAATATAGAAAATTATTTTTTTAATGCATAACATAAATAGAGGAATGTTTTTAAATAGAAATTCAACCTTAAATAGTTCTAAATAGATGTTTAAGAGAGTTAAGACATACTTAAGTCACCTCTACCGGCCGCCTAAGTTTTGCTAAGATTGTCAAATCTTAGCACATTTCTAGTTACGGTCTTAAGTTTAAGACTGTACTTAAGTCCTACTTAAGCATGGTCTTAGACTTAAGTACCCTTTATGTTACGACCCCCTGGTGCACTTAATGTCTTCAAATTAGGTACATTTTGAAAATTGTTTTTTTTTTCTTTTTGTCAGCATTTTTTCACAATCTTTTATGTTTTACAACAGAATAATTTAAATTAATATATATGTATTTTTTTAAATTAGAGATGACGCGAATAATTTCATTTATATTTGCACATCGATCGAAAATACCCCGTGTGCAGTTGAAGTTACCCAACACACATATCTTGTAAATCGAACACATTTATTTTACATCTTGACGAATAATACATATAACAATGTAATCTGAACAATAAAAGTATTCCGAAGGAAAAATAATCCAGTAAATGTTGAGCGTAATACATGTAATAGGCAGTGACATACTTGAACAAATCTAAATATAAAAAAAAAATAATCGGTCGAAATTACACCACCCTACCCTACAGTGTATCTGTCGTATATGTATAATACTTATAAAAACAAACGTTGCAATATTTAATTTTTCAATATTCAGATATTCTTTGTGTATCATTGTGCTTCGTTTATTTCATACTGCTATAAAGGGAACTGCACGTTACAGCGTGTTTGTTTATATTGTTTCGTTGGCTGCGGTGGAGATGCATGTGTAGGTCAGTGAATGGAATTTAAAAATAAACAACACTTTTTGGAATAACATTAGAGTTACATACAAATATCAGGTTGACTAGCATCCTTGCTGAAATAATAATGCTTCAGAACGACTTCTGACATACACGAAGTTCGGAGATTCACGAAGTTCGGAGATACACAAAGTTTCTGCTTTCTCAAGAGTAAATTTGAAATAAAAATTATCAAATGATTAATAAATTTGTATTATTAAGCAGACGTAAAATTCCTACAAAGACTTTAGAGTATTGTAAGTTACAAACTAAATTCATATCTTATAGGCTTTTGTGTAAAGGAAGTAATCAATACAACTATTTTTGTGTCTGGTTTTACTGACTCTTAAAATTCACGAAAACCCAGGAGCTTCCGGGGGCTTCGCGCCCTGGGCCACCTCCAGGACTTCGCCCTGGACCCACTGGGGGCCTTAAGGCGGCCCCAGACCCCCTGCCTGAACGAAGTTATCCACCCCCCCCCCCCCATCACAAATCCTGTATCCGCCCATGGCCCCCTTTTGTATCCAAAATATACACAAGATTTAATAAATCAATTTATAATGTGGCTTTGGGCCCCTACCCCGACACAAAACTGGTCGGGCCCCCTTTTCAAGATTCCTGTTTCCGCCACTGAAAAAGAATGTGTTGTTCTCTTGGATGTCGATATCTGAATTATGTTTTATTTAAACACCTAGTCTAATATATCATGGGCGCCAATAATAGGACGATTATTTGTTTTTTTAAAATAAAGTGGTTCTTACAGATGTTAAAAAAACCTTATAAACGGCTAAATAATTATTTAATTCATCTACAACAAATGTTAGTTTAGTTCTTTGCTTTCATAATTTAACTTTTTATAAATTAACACGAAAGTCGTGCGATCGTATACAAATACTCAGAAGCAATCTTTCATATTTAATGAACGTATAGGTGAATAAATTTCCTCTCATCACTATACGTAAACCCCCATCCTCTAAATAAATAGAATGTTTTCCTTCGCAGTCGGTTGGTTTTACCAGGTACATGTCAGTACAAGTGAGGATGGAGCTTTATAGAAGCAGGTGATGAATTCCGAGAGAAAGGCACTGCCTATTTTATATACATGTACATTCTTAGGGACCTGGTTTTCTGAACCTATCTCACTGTTATTCAAAGACCTAGCTAGAAATTCTCTCTCTCTCTCTCTCTTTGAAATGCAGGCCCGTCGATTGTAAAAAAAATGACAAAATAATTTCAATTTTTAATAAGTATCTCATCTCCCAAGCCAAAGACCCAAGTAAGCTTTTGCTGTTCATAATTCCTCATCTTTGTTTGCTATCTTGGTGTATATAAGCATTATCGTCGTTGTTGTTCTAAAGCTACTCGTAAATTTTTCTCATTTTAATCTTATCAAGAATCACTGGACCATAACAACGAAAATTAACACAGAATATTTTTGGTAAAGTTTTGTTCAAATGAAGGGTCACGTCCTCTTTTAACGGATACATGTAGAAAAAATTAGATGGGGTCCAGGCGCAGATCAAGGAATTTTTTTCCACGGAGGGGGGGGGGGGAGGGGAGGGGATCCCAATAAAAAAAATATTTCAACCCAGAAATTTTTTGACGAGCCAAAAAAAAAAAAAAAACTCTTTTCCCAAACGTGAAAAACCTATTTCGTGTGTGTGTTTGTGTGTGTGTATGGGGGAGGGGGGGCGTTGACTTTTAAAGCTTCATACCTAAGACTTTTCATACCATTTTAACACAGATCCGCGTTTTCGAGGAAGGGTCCGTGTTTTCTAAGGGGGGGGGGGCATGGTCACTTTTACTTGTTAGCTCACCTGAGCTGAAAGCTCAAGTGAGCTTTTCTGATCACCCGTTGTCCGTCGTCCGTCCGTCTGTAAACTTTTCACATTTTCAACTTCTTCTCAAGAACCACTGGGCCAATTCTAACCAAACTTGGTACAAAGTATCCTTGGGGAAAGGGGAGTTTAAATTTTTAAAATAAAGGATCAAGTCCCCTTACAAGGGGAGATAATCAAGAAAAGACAAAAATAGGGTGGGGTCATTAAAAAATCTTCTTCTCAAGAACCACTTAGCCAGAAAAGCTGAAACTTTTGTGGAAGCATCCTGGGGTAGTGTAGATTCTAAATTGTTCAAATCATGACCCCCGGGGGTAGGGCGACGCCACAATAGGGAATACAAGTTTTACATTGAAATATATAGGAAAAATCTTTAAAAATCTTTTTCTCAAGAACCACTGAGCCAGAAAAGCTGAAACTGATGTGGAAGCATTCTGGGGTAGTGTAGACTCTGAATTGTTCAAATCATGACCCCCGGGGATAGGGCGACGCCACAATAGGGAATACAAGTTTTACATTGAAATATATAGGAAAAATCTTTAAAAATCTTCTTCTCAAGAACCTCTGGGCCAGAAAAGCTGAAACTTATGTGGAAGCATTCTGGGGTAGTGTAAATTCTAAATTGTTCAAATCATGACCCCCAGGGACAGGGCTGGGCCACAATAGGAAATACAAGTTTTACTTAGAAATATATAGGAAAAATCTTTAAAAATCTTCTTCTCAAGAACCACTGAGCCAGAAAAGCTGAAATTTTTTTTGGAAGCATCCTGGGGTAGTGTAGATTCTAAATTGTTCAAATCATGACCCCCCGGGGGTAGGGCGAGGCCACAATAGGGAATACAAGTTTTACATTGAAATATATAGGAAAAATCTTTAAAAATCTTCTTCTCAACAACCACTGAGCCAGAAAAGCTGAAACTTATGTGGAAGCATCCTCAAGTAGTGTAGACTCTAAATTGTTCAAATCATGAACCCTGGGGATAGGGCGGGGCCACAATAGGGGGAATCTCAAGTTTTACATTGAAATATATAGGAAAAATCTTTAAAAATCTTCTCAAGACCACTGGACCAAAAAAACTGAAACTTACGTGGAAGCATCCTGGGGTAGTGTAGATTCTAAATTGTTCAAATCATGGCCTCTGGGGGTAGGGTGGGGCCACAATAGGTATTACAAGGGGGGAAGTCTGGTAATGAACAGCATGGCCAAAGTTACTCAGGTGAGCGATGTGGCCTATGGGCCTCTTGTTTCTTATATACATTTAACTGCCCCCAACCCCCTCTAGATCCGCGCATGGGGTCATTTGAAAATAGTATTCTCAAGAATCCCTGGACTAGAATGAGAAAATTTCCAACATAGCATACATTCATTTTTTTTTCAAATATTGATTCCAGGGAGAAGGTTTGGGCCGGAAAGAGTGTTCATAATTTAACAAAGGAATGAATTTATATATCCCCCAAACGAAGTGTGTGGGTTTGGGGTGGGGGTGTTTTGAGTCTTTTGGAATCACACTGTCCGTCTGCCTAGCTGTCCGTCTGTACGTGATAGTTCGCCAAGGATATTATAACTTTGTTATGAAGAAACTGGAAGGTCATACTTGGTACAAAGATTACTAATGATCCGAAGGTGTGTCATGGTTTTGATCCAACATCATTCCAAAAAAGTTCAAGGTCATTGGAAAAAAATAGCAAGTATCATACTTGATACAGAAATTGCTTATGACAAAATTAAAGGGTTTGACACGACTTTCATCCAAGGTCATTCCTGTAAGTTCAAGGTCACTGACAGAAAACTGTAAAATTACTGTATGTGTTATAACTTTTGAAGCTCATACTTGGAACAAAGATTGCTTATGATCCACCGGTTTGAGATAACATAGTACTAGACTGGCAGAAGAAGTGGCAAAATTCGTGCCTGGATTATAAATTTATAAGGGGTGGGAGGAACACGGGAAACTTTTTCTCAGATTGCTTGATATGGGTTTTCCTGACCTTGAACAAAGGTTTTTTAGGCAAGTTCAAGGTCACTGGCAGATAAATATTATTTTTTTCCCACATGCTATAACTTTGTTATATAAAATCACTGGAAGCTTTTACTTGATACAGAGATTGCTTATGATCCAAGAATGTGTTTTGACCTTGATCCAAGGTCTTTCTGGCAAGTTCAAGGTCACTGACAGAAAAGTGCAATATTCTTTTTCAGGTATATCTTTGTCATTGGGTATCACTGGAAGCTCATAATTTGTTCAAAGGTTGTTTTGACCTTAACATAGGTCATTTAGGCAAGTTCAAGGTCACTGATATAATAAGTGTAAAATTCAAAAAGTTCTAGTCGCCCAAGTGGCGCAGTGGTAAGAGTGTCTGCTCTAGAGTCGTGGATTATGGAGTTGATCCTTACGTCGCAGGTTCGAATCCCACTGTGGGACGCAGACACTGATCCTTCGGATGAGACCGTACAAACTGAGGTCCCGTCTGGCAGTAGGTGCTGACACGAAAAAGATCCCTCACTGCTAAATGGCCATGTGTGCCGAGTATAGGTCAAAATTTGCAGATCTCCATCGGCAAATGGTGGCGTCTCCATATGATTGAAAAATTCTCGAAAGGGACGTTAAACAACATACAAACAAATAAACAAAAAGGTCTATACTTTTGTAATAGAAAAAAATTGCATGCATTTGCATTTCACTGAAAAGATGATAAATGTATCATCCAGAGTGTGTAATGGCCTTGACTTAAATTCGAGGTCACTTAGAATATGATGTTTTGGATGAATAGTCTGAAAGAATACGTGACTGTGATTTTTCTTTATGTGACATAAAGATGGTGTTTGCTCTTAACAAGCTGCAGAATGTGTCATGGCTTGACGCAAAGTTATTTGGACAAGTTCAAGTTCACTGACAGGGTAATTTTACATTCCTTTACTGTCTTTCTACTGTTGAAACATTGAAAGTTGATGCCCCTTACAGGATTGTTTAGAACCTTAAAATGTTGCATGACCTTGACTCAAGGTCGCTCTGTCCTGTCCGGAGCTCCGACGGAAGACCTATTCGTTGCATTGCAACGAGCTCGGCTCTAATTTATTTATTTAATTCTGATAGTCATAAGTTGTCCTTTGCCTTTTAAGAATAAATTGACTTATCAATCTGATTCATTAAATTTTACCAAAATTAATTGAAAATCAGATTGGGAAGAGGAAATGTTATTTACATAAAAATCGTTACAAGGACAACTTGCCGGTGGAGAATTTTTGACCTATACTCGGCACTCAGGGCCATTGAGCAGTGAGTGATCTTTTTCGTGCCAGCACCTACTGCGACATGGGACCTCGGTTTATACGGTCTCATCCGAAGGACCGGTCTCCAACCCACAGTGGGATTCGAACCCGCGATGTAAGGATCAACTCTTTACTCCGCGACTGTAGAGCAAACGCTCTAACCACTGCGCCACGCGGGCGACAGAAAATTTGAAAGAAAAAATAATTATATCCTCTGAAGAACTGTGTATTTTAAATATATATTGTATCTTACTTCAAAAGATTTTTACCAATTGTCAATTTTTCGAGTAAGGATGTTTAACAAAGTTATTACTACATTTGACAGTATTTGCATGGGTGATGAAAGAGGAAATCAGCATCATTCATCTCAAAAGAAATTTTCTTAATATGTTATAAATTGGTAGTATTACATTGTAATTTGATTTTTTTTCCTTCTTCAGAAAAAATCAGAAGGAATGGAGTGAAACACCTGGAAACTATAAAAACTAATCAGAGACAAAGGGAATATGAACGAAACTTACGTTAGTACAAAATTCAATAATCATAAGTTAAAAAGATAACAAAGCAAAAAACACACACATACACACACGTTTTACCAAGAACTCGAACAAATAAACATGTACATTTTTAAGCGATTATAAAGAAGATGGGCGTGTTTGGCGTGTGATCTGCAGGAATCATGTGTACGAAACATTTATAGTTTAAATGTCCACGATTTGGTCGGTTGACCACAGCTGGACAGGTTTTACAAAGCTACGCACATAGGAAAATGTTATACATTTGTATTTAGTTTGAATGTCAAATTGTAATATTTAGGTCCGCTTATCTTAATGATCAAACTTTAAGATAGTAATGCTTCACATAAATAATAAACACCTACAAGATAATAAGATTATAGTTAAATGCAATTACAAGTACAAGTGTATATTAAAGTATTAGTAGATTGGAAGAATTGCTTTCGCTCTTAATGCAACAGAACCAGAATATATCCATTTAAAAAAAAATCAGTTCAAAATATTAAACTGACAAAAGAAATTAATTGCTTGCATTAAAAAAAAATATTAACTCTCCATGCGAGGATCGAACCAAAAAGTTTTCGACTCCATTTGCACTGGACGGGTAACGCATATTACTGAGCTATCACGACTACACATACAAGTTGGCTTTTAAAACCACAATGAAGCACCGCATTTACACATTGGAATTTTTTTGGAAAAAGTTCATTTTTTACGGTGTCTGGGTATTTTCTCCATTTTTTACAAATGATTGTTTGTTTCTTTGAATTAAAATTCATACAAATAACGTTTGAAAATCATGGAGAGATGACCCAGAGATAGCAAATTTTTAGAAAAAACTTGTTTAAAAATGTGACATTTTGTACCAAATGAATCATCTACCCTATTAACAAGATATTTTTTAGCAATTCAAGATACAATTTCGGGAAAATATTTCCCTTTCCCATTTCACAGGAACCCAAATGATCAAAAGAATGATAAAATTTCGTGTGATAGATCAATGAAATTTTCACTTTTCAAGTACGCCGTGATTCCTGCCGAATGCCACTCAAAAGCGCCCTCGTTCTTTGCTCACATTTTTTTAGCCTTTTATCCTATATTAAAGAATAATATTTGAAATACTAGATTATCTAGGAGTTATGCGTATTATCTATTGTATGTAACAGGCTGAGGTCCAGAACGAATATCATTATCCAACATTTTTAGCCACTGTAGACAAGTCGTATGAATCCCTGGTAAGTGGCAATATAAAATAGCTGTAATTTTGTCCTTTTTTTTAATTTATATGCAAAAATGTTACATTTTTCAAAAAAATAAATAAATACAATATATGCAGAAAGATGGTCTTTAGAATGGAATAGAAGTATGTAATATAATGTGTCAGTTTTGCTATATCTTCTCGAGGGATCTTTTCCCAAAAAATCGAATTGATCCATTTTCCAGTACAGTTCTTTGTGGGATTTTTGTTGACAGACATATTGACTTACAAGCAAAAAGGACGGACGTACTAAGGGTTAAACATGACATTCTTGAACTTCTTTGATAAAAGTTATTCACAAACTTGATTTTTTTTAGAAAGAACAAAAAGATGATGGCAGATATGAACGGGTACGAATATTACAGAATGTTTTGTTCTAACCGTCTGCTTCACCTTATGTTTTTGGAAATTAAAAAAAAAAAACAATTTAATACCATATATTATTTTTTTTTATTACTTTGTGGAATTATACATAAATTAATGTATATGTTACGTATCCATCATATCAATACGTTCATTTACTGAAACACTGATTACTCTTTCATTTTTTTTCTAATTGTTTTAAGCTCAAAAACACCTGCGCTGTGGAACCAAACCTGAAGGAGATTAAAGGGGTTGAAAAAGAAACTAACAAACTTGAAACACATGGGGTATCAATGAAAACTTGGGTAGCCATTGTAATAAGTGTTGTTTTCCTAAGTGGTTTTGTCACGATGACATCATTGTTTGCTGTGCAGCTCAATAAGAGATGTCGTAAGTTTTATCATCATGGTTTTTATAACACTTGCCTATTTTGTAGCAATAAGGAACGGCAAAAAAAAGAATTGAAATCGCTGACCTGAATTTAAGGTTCATTGAAACTCTGATAAGAGAGATAACTCTAACTGATAAAAAATATTATTCTTCAATAAACTCTCAACAGGCCATTTTTGTCAAATTTTGCCCCAAAGGTATGCTGAAATTGTGTGCATTTCAATTATAAATAAGATTTCTCTTTCATAATCAAAAGTGTTAAAGAAAGACTTTACGTTTTGTAGAGCTTTAAGGTTGAAAACCGACGATATTATTATTTTTCTTAGTGTAGTGATTTTTTTTAACTAGTAAATATAATCTGTAAGTATTATTTTTTTTTTATATCTATGGTTATACTCCAAAAGACAATTTAGTATTTAGGAACATGTGGTGTACCTAGTGGCTCAAAATTTGAGAAATGACATTCTCATCAATTTTTCACCGTTCGTTATCAATCTTATATTTTCTCATGCAGTTATTTTCCCCCTTAGATTACAGTCATTTAAAATGAAAAATAAATTGGAAAGAGTTAAAAATTTAGTCGCGGACATTATCAAAATTTATGATTATGTAAACGATATAACGTACCAATTATCTACGTTATATCTTTATGATTTAGTGGGCAGTATACAGGAGGGTCTGGAGAAAGGAATTGGTGAGTTACCTTCTCTACAAAGATACGGTTTCAGCAGAAATAGTGACTCTTTGAATACCTTTATGCTTGTATTTATTCAGTTAAATTTTAAAAAAATATCAATGTATGAGCCATATTTTTTTGAAATATTTCAAACGGAACAAAACCAGTATTTCAGTTCATTGATTTTTTTTCCAAACTAATGCATTAGTTATGTTCTTTTTTTAATTTATGATAAATTATATTTAACAGAACAAAACCAGTCACTTCAGCTGCAAATAAGCCGTTTAAAAAATATAATTGGTAAGTTCCGATTATTTCAGTGTTAAACAGGAAATATTTTAAATTCTTTAATTATTACCCATGTGAATCAATAAAATTTCTTCCAACCTCACAAAATATAAAATGAAAATCTGAAAAAAGTGCATAAAAAGTAGAATCGCTTGAGTTTCGTTTTATAAGAATCGGTCCTTTGATGTATTAAGCGCATTTTTATGGACTTAGAATTCCAAGGTTACTTTTTAAATGAAATTGAAGACACGGCTACTAATTAATTACATTCAGTATTATTGCTTTATTCCAAGAGGGGACAACCAAATAACATTTTGAAAAAAAAAAATAAAAGGAGTAAACATGTAATCATCTTTTCTTGTAGTTTCTCCACATTTCTGGTCCTCCAATGGAAATTCAATCTATATGTTATTTCTGACCGAGAGGACTTGGTTTGATTCTCAGGTAAATTAAAAAAAAATATCCGTCGATATCGCGGAACCAAATACATGATTTTGCTTTTGATCCCAGGAATCAGTGATGTTAATATGATCAATATTTTATTTTTATTTTATAGGTATGGTGTAGTAATACTGGGGGAACTTTGGCAGAAATAGAAACTGTAGATGAGAATAATTTCATCCGAAACAGCATCATCAGTCTAAGAGAAGCTAACATAATCAGAGGTACCTTTTTTTTGTTAAAAAATTCGTTAGATTAAAACACGGAACTCAGGAAACTAAAGTGGGATAAAGCTTTATCTTTGAGAAATATATTGTTTATGAGAAAATATAATTGTTAATATGATTTATAAAATGCAGATAATTAATGAGACATTTATTTTAGTTTTATTTGAAAGAAACATCTGAAAATTCAAACAACATAATGCAGTATTTTTCATTATATTTATTTTATTTTTTATTCATTTTAAATGAATTTTATTTACATACAAGAATACAATGTGTTCATATGTTTTTGAACTTGAGAAAAATGGTCTTCAAGTAGAGGATTACATAACCATCATGCTAAAATGGCGAATTATAAGATCACACTTGTACATGATGCACACCTGTAAAACTTGAATAGGTTCGGTGTGAAGAAAAATTCTAGTATCTTTAAAAGAATATACATATAATCATGAACTCTTTCTAATGTTGGTTATGAATATCAATTTTGACTGAGGCGAATTCACCAGAAAAAAATATAAATATTGACTGAGGCGAAGCCTCGGTCAATTTTGATATTTTTCTGGTGAATAACCAGCATTCACCACCGAAAGTCACCTATTCTATATTTGGTTTTGAAGAAAAAAGACACTGAATACTGCATGATGAACCTTTTTCATTAACGAATATATGTCGTAGAAAGATTAAAAATATCCACATAATAAGCTATAGCTTCCTTTCGATGTTTGTAAGTTATCGAAATACTTAGAAATTAATCAGGCGATAGGTACTATCTAACATTCTTCCTGCTTAGATACAGAACTGGCTCCGATCGTTGCAACCATTGTTTACAGTGGTTTTTAGGTTCCTTTTGTGACGATACAATTCCCGCTGCACGCGCACTAACCCTCCGGTAAATACGACTTCAAATCCACTGGATACGTTGTGTTATGAACCGTTTGCGTTTGTATTTATTATAATAACTATAAATAATTTATCTTTTGTATTAACATTTGCAGATGGTGTATGGGTAGGCGGAACAGATGAAAATACAGAAGGAATTTGGAAATGGGCATCAAGAAATACAAATATAACTTTTACATTCTGGGCTCCAAATGAGCCAAATAATTTCCGTAATAACGAAAATTGTCTGGAACTTTCAGAAGAGAAAGGATGGGCATGGAATGATAACAACTGTGATGAAACAAAGACATTTCTTTGTGAAATTTTGCAGAGCAAGTAAATGATGTTTTTCAATTTTTTTTCAGGTTTTCAATAAAAACGTTGAGATTACAGGGCGTTCAAGAACTTCGGTCAAAAATATAGCGATAATAGTATAATATTGCAATTTCTATTCTTGTTATAATGACGTCATCTAAAAACATAGCGGATTGTTGGTTCGTAATTTGACCGACAGATTTCATACCAATCGTTAAGTCATTACTAAAAATTTTGTTTGAATATGAATTACTTCGTTAATCTAGTTTAAACAGTCGGTTAATGGTTTGATGTTACCGGTCGACAAGAGAGCTTACTCCTCCTAGACACCTCACTACATCTCTTGTGTTTCCAGGGGTTTCCATCTCTCTGGCTGGAATTCAGTATTCTTAACATCTGTCCAAAAGTTATCCGACTTTCCATGTAAATACATGTATATCATTTGCTTTTTTTTCCCTGTATATTACCAAAATAGATCTGGCACTTCAAGGTTATTTGCTAATGTTTATTTTTGTCGTCCAGTGGAATCTCAGATCTCTGAAATATGTTTGGGTAGGATTTCAGTAAGTACAAAATAATTGCTAGCAATAAGTAAATGGCTCGATATTCTTTAAGCTTGTATTATCACTGAATTATAAAAAAAATAACACTTTTCTTGTTATTATGAGAATTCAAAAACCCTCATATTCACCCTCCTTGTCGTTTTCGCATGATTTTAACAAACTTGAATCTTGGCTTTTTTTTTGTTCTTGAGATGATTTTTAAAGATTTTTCCTACGTATTCCTATGCAAAACGTTTATTGCCCAATCGGATCCGCCCTATCCCAGGTGTTCATGATTTAAATAAATGGATCTACATTACTTGTGTATGCAATCACTTGAGTCTCATCTCTTTTTGCACTAAGGATACTTCGTGGCAAGTTTGTTTGAAATTGGCTCACTGGTTCTTGAGAAGTCGAAAATGTGTAAAGTTTTCGGACAGACGGACACCGGACAAAATGTGATCAGAAAAAGCTCCCTTGAACCCTCGGCTCAAGTGAGCTAAAACAGAAAAAAAATGTAATTACAACAATTGGACGACTAACATTTAACTCCTATGTTTATTTTGGCAAGGTCACCGGATAATTGCACACGTTTGCCTATCTGCTTATGCCAAAACTAAAATATCTTGAATTAAATAGGCTTTGACCAAATAAGCCCCACCTATACTATATAACGATGTTTTGTATTAAAAAGGATTTAGACATTATTTTTATGAAGCATGCAATTCGGTCGCAAAGTATGCATTATTTAAGATTTTTTACATACAGAATAATTCAGTTCATATGAAGGTTATTGAACAACTTTACAAAAAATTTCAGAGTTACCTACGATGATATAGAGAAAAATAAAAAGTAGGGATGTCAATTTTGTCAAAAATTCATATTCGAATATTCAATGAAAGTATTCGAATATATTCGAATATTCGATAACATAAATAAATCTGGTGTATTTTAAATATGCACCATCCTACTCCCATGAAAGGTTTAGCGTTGGTATTCTTATATTGGAAGTAAAATTGTGTGAAGGTTTTTGTAGGTGTAAAATTAGGAATTCCATTTGATATTTGTCAATGATTGAAATAAATAATTGATTTAAATGTCGAAAAATATGATTTTAACAAATTTAATAATTTAATAAATTTATAGTAGCTCTAACTGAGGAACTAGTCTTCTTACCAAAGGCAGGATTGTCGTATACTGTTTAGTTTTCAATACGTGTTATTAATTACAATTATTGGCCTGATAAGAGATATGATTATAATCTTTAAAAGAATATTTTTAAAATATAAACAGAAATATTTCCATGGACAATTTTCCTAGGCAATCAATTAATTTACCGATGTTGAATATAAAATTCAGGATTATGTACAACCCGAGATAATCAAGTAATTTACACATTTATTCTGAAATTACAATATCAATTACAGACGAATTCTATCAGACACTCATTCAATGATCAATTGAATTTATTTTGATTAGTATACTCTTCACGTCTTTTAGACATTCCAAGAAGGTTTTCGTTTATTCAAAATTTATTAATCACAGTACTTCTTTTTATGAAATCTGTAAAACACCGAATATTCGAATCTTAAATTTATATTCGAATATCAACTCTTCGAATGAATATTCGAATGTTCGAATATTCGTTGACATCCCTAATAAAAAGTGATACAAACTGCAAACAGTCAGCCAATTATTAGCGAATGTTTATTGCAAAGGGAACGAATAAAATAAGTACACAATTTTACAAATATTTAGTACGATGAATGAAAGGTACAATGAGCTAGAGTGTTCCGACGAACGCATATGTCGCCTGCTTTATAGTTTCATTACATTTGCAAATAAATCTAAGAGTAGTCAGCTATTTATCAACTACTAACATTATAGTTTAATGCGTTTGCCTGCAAAGAAAAAAAAACTTTCATGGATAGTACAAGACTGATATAATGCCATATAATATAGAATCAGTCAATCAAAAACACATAGTTCCCCAACCCTGAATATCATTTTATTAATGCATGCTTCCAACATTCCTCCAAAAGAGATTTTAGTCTGTCTTAATTGCAATTGTCAGTCTACACGATCCATTGTGGAATACCGATCCCGATGCATTTTCATAGTATTTAAAAATGTTTTGTGGTAACTGAGTATCATGCAGATTCAAAGTACTGTATCATGAGCTCATAAACATGAATAAATGCTAATTATCAAAATCCTGCCTATCAAATTTCAAAAGACATAATTTAAATTAAGCTGTCCGGGGTATTTTATGCAAAAGATGTCAAAGATCAAGCGGATTGTAACGCTAAGTATTTTAAATAATGTTTATGACAAACAGTGCACATGCTAAATGGTATAAACTTGCATCTTAAATGTCAAAAAATTATGCTATGTACCACTATGAACTTTTGAAAAGGTCAAGGGGCATGAGATTGATAACCATGGTAATTTACAAAAGGCATAGTACCAAGCAATATATGTGCAAAATCTCAAATGTAAGGTGACAGACAGCTAGACAGTCGCCGGGTAAACTGGGGCCCGTTTCACAAAACTATCTTATGACTAAGATCTATCTTAAGACCGAAATTTATCTTAAGATTGCACCATAGCCGTTTCACAAAACTGTCATATCTTATGATAATCTTAAGATCCATCTTTATCTTAAGACAACTAGATACCTGTCTTAAGCCTACAGTGAAACTGGCGAGAGTATATCTTTTGACTAAAAACCGAGGGATATTTTAAGAAAACGTTTTTTAGAGATAGAACAATCCTTTGCACTATATCAGGCCAGTCGGAACAATGAACCCCCCCCCCCCCCAAATAATTTGCCAATAAATTACGATAGAAAACATAAAATGTACTTACTTTATGTTTGTGGCACTTTATTCATTTCAAGGCAATTTTCTTTGGTTGTAAACCCTCCCAACTGTGTAGCTACCTTTCATTTTTAAGACTTTTTACTTTAATTAATTTATTTTGTTACATTGTGGTGATTTTTTTTTTCGAGAAACTATAAAGTCTTACAAAATTAGATGAAAATCAAATAGTTTTAATTCTTGGGGTTTCCTTCATTAATCCACCGGAATGTGTTTGAAAATTCAATATAGTTACTGCTGTAACATTTGATGCTGCAAGCACACGCTTTCTTCATGCTTTCTTAATAGCAGTAGAAACTGTAAAATTTTGATAAGAAATTGTTCTTTCGTTTCTATTCTTCGTTTGTTAGCATTTTTATTTTGTTGCAGTAGTTGAAGCGTTTCAGAGACACCTTCATCGAATTTTATGAACGAACTTTGAACACGATTTGGTGTTTCAAAAGGATTCATTGCTAAAACCATACATTATTTGCAAAGGTTCAGATACACTAGTAGATTTAATTAAAAGTAGTATCGCATACATTTCGTAAGCAACTATTATTTTAATCTGAGCACAAAGACATTTAAGCAAATATTCAATAATTTTTTTGTGATGGAATTAATTCAAATTTAGTTTTTATGACCCCCCCCCCCCCCCCCAACATACACACAAAGTACATTAAATTTGAAAAATAAATTTTTTTCCGAGGGTATATCTGCAAAAGAAACTAAATGAGATACACTGTTTAGACAACTAAACTTCGTGCAAACATATTTAAAAAAAAATTCCCTGTAATATTGAAGAATGGAATTAGTCTTAAGAGTTGTCATAAGGTTTCTTTTACTTAAGATAGTTTTGTGAAACAGCAGTGACAAATCTTACTATTGTCCAAAGTCAGATCTTAAGATGATCGTAAGATCTGTTTTAGGACAAATCGTACAATAGTTTTGTGAAACCCGGCCCTGGTCCGTATGTATCGCTCTGCTCTGTAGGCGGCGACACAGAAAAATCCTAGCAAAGAGTGAAAGAAAGTAGCAAGGTCATGAGGACTCCATATAGGTTATTGAAATAAGGATTAAAAAAAAAAGGTATATTGATAATCCTGAAAAAATTCCTATGTAATGATTATTTTTATTTCTGTGACCGAGAAAGGCATACTATTTTCTGCCCAAAGGGCAAAGAATTAAGTTTCGAATTGTCATTTTTAAATGTTGAATAGATAAGTAATTATACCAATAAACAGGATATGCTTGAAGCGGTTTGTGTTTGCACGAATTTGACATTATTTTCAAAGCTAAAAATGTTGACAGGTGTGAACCGGATTTTGCTTGTTCTACGTAACAGCCGGGATAAAAATCACATGATTTTGTATCGTGTATAACTTCTAGTTACTAGGTGAGAAGATCAACGAACTTGTTGGCATGATTTTCATATTCCTGATCTCGGTGATCTTGGTAAGTTCAAAATCTTAACAAGGAGTGTAACCTTAATTACACATGTAAACAACATTTCTATTTAATTCAACTTTTATTTTAAAATAAATCAGGTTAATATAATTAAATTTTATCATTTTAGCTGTTTTCTGGGGCTGAATCTCAGGCAAGATGCCCGAGGGGTAATCCATTGCGAAGCGTTTTCTGTGGGCGTGGTCCAAATCGCCAGGATTGTCCAAGTGGATATTACTGTGAAATTGATCCAGCAGACAGATTTGCAATATGTTGTCCACGTGCGTACAAATTAATAATTCAACATTTCATTTTTTCTTACCTATTTATCCCTATAGATGTACATACAATGTAATTACCCTTGTTCTAGAAATTTGGACGAGCATAATTGCTAATAAAGGTGTGTTCTTTTTTTAAAATAGGAAAACCTGTTTAAAATAAAAAAATTAGAAATACCTGTTATTCTGATGACATGGAATATAATGTGGTAGAATATTTTTTTTCATGAAATTATTTTTCCCCTTAAGAAACAATGGCATACTTTTACAAATATGAGCATTAAACAAATGTATCTTTCACGTAATTAGAGTGTCCACGAGGAGGACAGCCATTACCCGGGGTTTTCTGTGGAGATGGTCCCAACTATCAGCCATGTCCCTATGGATACGAATGCAGCGTACATGAAGTTGACCTCTTCGCTGTGTGCTGTCCTCGAAGTAAGGTATTCTTTTCTCTATGATTGATTGAATGATAACGTCCCATGCAAGAATTCTTTACCCATATAGAAACGTACAACAGCTTGAAGTGAAGTTTAATAATATTTAGCTTTTTGCATGGCGCTTACAGTCGTATCAGTGAGGTTTAAAATCTTGCAAAGTCTTCGTGACACGGGACCTCCATTCCTAAGGTCTCACCCGAAAAACCAGTGAATTTCACTTTTAATGCCGGGCCATTAACGAGTCTGAAAGTCACTTGCTTGATGAAATTCTAAAGGTGTGACGCATAACAGGGCAAAAAAAAAAATCGAGACCGGACCTTGCAAATCAAGGCAGGAGGAATATTTAGGAATGGGAGAACAAGGCATGCAAAATTGCCACAGCATCTAATGTTTAAAGTCATATTCAGTATGTGAATTTTGTCATTTAAAATTATGAAACATAAAAAATGGGGGGGGGGGTCTTTCGGCAAAAATCATTCCATAATTGAAAAAAAAATGGTAATCTTGGGATTCGAACCCAAGTAACAAAAATCTCGAGTATCAACTTTTCATTCGAGACTGACACGCTAACCACTACGCTATACCTTTCATATCATGTATGGGAATTAAAATCATGCTTGTGGTATGCCCCTGACTAAATGGACTTCTAATGTTCTCTGAAAGATACGAATGCTGTGTCAAACGTGTATTTTTAAGGTATAGCGAGTTTTGCTCCATGCTTTTTGATAACCGAAGAATGTTTTTTTTTATTCTACAAAGGGGGTTGGTTAGGGGAGACCCTTTTATATACCATGGAAAATTTGTGTTTTTGTACAAAGAATTAATTATTTCTGCCCACTTTGGGGTATGTATGCTATTTCGTAAACGAATAATTTCAATTCTGTGGGATTGATGCGATTTGTGGAGGTTTTACATCAAGTTTACATGAAATGTTAAATGAAGTATGAAAGAAAATGTTGACAATTGATATTTAATTTTTCACTGTCTTACCTGTCGCACAATACGCATTTTGCTCGCTTTGTTCGCCCATTTTCTTTATTTTAATTATCTTATAAGAAAAAATGTCTTAAGGAATTTCTGTGTTTGTTCACTGAACTGGGTTATTGAGAAAAGGAAAGAAATATATTTATTATTTAAATGTAAATTATCAATGACTTCTTTCCAATCTCTTTGTATTTAAGGACGTCGGTATGGAAAATGAGAAGACATGAATTAAATATTGAATTAATGTTTGAAAAGTCCTTGCAGAAAAAATATCCGTTTTTAAATGTAATAATATTTCACTAATGCATACTTTAATGGTTATCATCAAGAAAAAAATTCATTCGTTTGAACATCTATAAAGCTGTTTTTTTTTATATTTACAGACTGGAAAAAAAAGCTTTTTGAAATCTTCAGAGCAGCTCTTTTTTTTGTTTTCAATATCGTACTTCTCTAAATGCAAAATGTATGAATGAATTTCTGTAAATAGTATCAAATCATGAAGGTAAGCGAAACATTTCGCTGGGGGTTCATGGCCGATTAGTAATGTTAATTAGCCTTGAGGAAAGTTCCACGGTAACACTGTCCTAATCTTCCCCTAACAAGCTCAAAATATGTTCTGTGTGACATATCGTACAGTTTTCAACATATATTGCCGTATTAAATGCAAGCAATACATGCTTGTTAGTATTGGAGAGTAATCAGTTGAACTGGAAGCCATTTTAAATAAACAGTGACTATACATGTATATACGCCCTTAAATTTATTGATTTAACAAGATAGTTCCCCTGCCTGTTTATATCAAGTACGATGGCGAAAAAAGATTATGATTTGAATTTGTTTTCAGTTTGGGAAGTTCACGCCAGAAATCTACCGCAAAATCTAAATCTTTCTTTCAAAGTTTGAGTATGATCTCTTTTTATTTCCTAATTAAACTCTTATCTCCAAAGTAGAATTTCTTCATGTTTTAAACTTGTGTATAATAATTAAAAATTTAATTATGTAAAATACTGTAAAGCCGAAAAACTCTAATGTAAAGGAAATATGATTAAAAAAACATGGAAAATAAGTGTCAATTGTGATAACGCAGTCCATTTTCTGAAAACTTTCATTGCAATTTCGGACGCTTAAGTGCTCGTTGTGAATGATTTAACTGTTAAATTAATCAACCATTATAAGCTAATATTATACCTTTTTTTCAAACATGTTACCGTTAAAACTAATTAAAAGGTATAATTTATTTTATCATCAGTCATAACATTGATTACCGTGATCGGGAGGTCGTGAGTTCGAATCTCGGCCGCGACTGACCTAAGTCGATAAAAAATGGGTAGCAACTGTTCCTTCGCCATGCGCTCGGCACTTTGAAGTAAAGTTGCGGGTCCTTCGGATGAGACCTTAAAAACCGAGGCCCCGTGTCACGGCAGGCGTTGGCACGATAAAGATCCCTCACTGCTCAATGGCCCTGAGTGCCGAGTAAAGGTCAAAATTTGAAGCCCTTCACCGGTATATGGTGAGGTCTCTATATGAGTGAAAAATTCTCGAATGGGACGTAAAACAACATACAATCAATAACATTGATTACTTAATAATTTAAGTTTTAACGCACGATTTGTTTTGAAAGAAAATTACTTTTTATCTTATAACTTCTCATAATACAATGAGTATTAGTATTCTATTAATCCCCCTGACGTGACATTAACCTTTTGTACAATTTGAGGCAATTCTTAAATGGAAATCCTCTTCTTTTTTAACACCTAATGATAGCAAATTAAATCATTAAGGTATAAATTTAATGACTACCTAAGTTATACTAGTATAACCTGAATTGGAACGGTTTGTTATTTTTTATTAACTGTTTGTCGGTTGGATAAACGTCAACTGCCAAAACCCAGGTCCATTGTAATACAGTACTGAATATTACTAAAGACACCCTATTTTCACCAGAAAGTTATTTTAGTGTTTATAAGCGAGAAAAAAAAAATTCCCACAACACTCGGTTATTTTTCTATACAATTTTGAATGGTATATATACTAGTATACGTGAGAATGACATTTTAGCGAGCATACTCGCTTACTAGTTTAATTGAACAAAACATAATGTTAAGGTTAAAAAAAGCAAGGCGATTTTTCGGTATTAGGTGGGTAGCTTTGATATTCATTCTCAAAACACAACAATGTAGCATACAACGTATACGAGTCTGATTGTTCTGGAGATCATACGTTACTTTATGTCCTTATAATTTGTTGCGCTAGAATGATAAAACAAACAAATGTCCTTATTAATGGATCATATATTATTGTGTACATTTTAAATAAATTTGCGGACAAGAAAGGGGAAGGGTGCTAAAATATGATCACTGCGTAAATGAAAATGTTAACAGAAGTCTTTATAAATATTAATTTAATTTTACATCGCATTTTACATTGTACAATATGAAAGTACTTGTGATTATTAATTACCATTTATTTTCATGTGAAATTCATTAATTTAAATGGAGGGATTCAATGACGCAGGTTTTTTTTTTTTTTTACGTTCATTTGTCCTAAATAGGCAAATTAACATATGTTACATAAACATATCACGCCTTTTTTAGGATTAGCCTTGCGTAATCATTAATAAAAGCATCCAGGTGTTCAAAAAATGTTTTAATATAAATATATAAACTCTTCAGATTGAGTGGCAAGCACGCGCCATTTGCATGGGAATATTTGAGTGCAGGAAAAAAAAAAAAAAAAATCGAAGCTTCATAGGAGATTTTTTTTAGAAGATTGAAAATGGGTCGCCGTATTGTGTTCCTTGTTATTATATTCACTGTACTTTCATTGGCTACTTGTCAGGTTAGATATGTTCTAATTAATTTTGTTATTTATCTTTTCTCAGATATTTAGGAAACATAATTTGAATATTAATCTTAACTAATTCTTTTTTCCCTATATTTTCTATACTTTCTAGCTTGATTGACTATTGGTCTCGTGCCTGTATATGTTAGAAAATGCTTTAGCATATAACTTGCACACATAATATGCTTATAAATGAATGTTCATTCTCTGCAAATTGTTAAATTAGAATTCAGGCAACAATTGTAAGTCAATCATTAGAACATATATTTTTATACGCAATTGTACATGTATGATTTGATTATGTACAGTTTGATTTCGAGTTGGTAGAAATATTAAAAAAAAATAAAATCCTGCTTTTCAATCGGGGATATCTATTGATGATTGTGTCCGTGCGTCCGTCCGTAAAACTTGGGTTACCCATCTCTTTTTGAGACCTTAAAAAACGAGGCCCCGTCTCGCTGTAGGTGTTGGCACGATAAAGAACCCTCACTGCCCCTAAGTGCTGATAAAAGGTCTAAATTTGAAGCCCTTCACCGGTATGTGAGGAGGTCTATATGAGAGAAAAATTCTCGAACTGGGCGTAAAACAATATTCAATTAATCATTAAATACGGAATATCCGTAACGGTTAACAGCTTTGCAACTTGCAAGACCTATTTTAATTTTGATGAGACACATATTTGGGGTTTCCCATTTAGCAAAACTTTGCCACTGCAATTTTTTCTATAATATTCGGGGGGTACGAATCTTTTATCTGCAACTCCTAAACCACTGAATTAAATTTAAGGAGATTTTCCCAGAATCTTTATTACATAGTGTCAATGTGCATCTCTTATTTAACTTTTGATCGGACACATGCATTGTATTTTGGGTTTCCAATAGAAAAACATGGAGTTTGCCATTATACTCATAAGGGAGAGGGAGTATCATTTTGTGAGCTAAATGCTAACGGTTTTAGTTATTAGTATGTATCTGTAACCATATAATTTCTTTCTCAGAGAAAACATCAGTTTATAAATAGGCACTGACGCATTTGACGAAATGGTTACAATGTAGCAGGACCTTTTCCCCATCAGTTTCAATAAATTAAACAAATCCTTCTTGTTCATCTGTTTAGAATGTTCCTGACAAAAGATGCCGGTCTGGATTTTCCTTACGTGATTTCTATTGCGGACGTGGAGGAAGACGGTGTCCTAGAGGATATTCCTGTAATATCCATCCCTCCGATAGATACGCTATATGTTGTGTAGGAGGGTATGTTTTTCTTCTTCCTTTAAGCTAACTATCTTTCATTCCATCTGATTTCCATATTTCGATAACTATAATAACCACCGTCATGTTTATTTTCTAATTTTCATACAAAAAGCAAATACATTTGAGGCATGGTGAAATTAAAATATTTCATTCTTATACCTTTCAGGTACAGAGGGTGACAAGAATTCACGTATGGTCAGGATATGAAGATCTGTAGAATTTATTTTAAATATAAAAGATGTTTTAAAATAAATTGTTTAAAAAATCTTTTGAAAATAAATCAATTGTAGAGTCATCATAACCAATGACATTTCATTTTCCAAATTATAACTCATTCTGATTTCAGGTAGCGGTGATCTAAAATTTCCCACATGTAAATAGAAAAAGTAAAAGAAAACTGACACAGTGGGAAAGGGTCCTACTGAGGGTTTTCTTGTAAAAGTGACACGAGCACTGATACAGAAATTATTACAATGAAATATAGCACATGCACACATTAAGGAAGGTGAGACGGAAAATCACTTGTATATGTGTTCGAATCACTGATATTGAATGGTGTCTACAAAGAGAAAGAAAATAATTAATTACAAAATTTATTTATACAGTGTACATATATGGACAAAGTTTTTAAATCACAATTTAAGGACATGCACATCGTACATGTACATGAACCCTACAATGTACCTTTCCAAGTGATTATTTTTAAAGGCGTTCTTTATTTAAATTTATTTAGATGTTCTTAAACAAAAAAGTCAATATACATTAAGAGGGGTTTTAAACAGATATCAAATGAAAATCCTTGATTTGAATTTTTAAAAAGAAAACTTAACAGTTTTAACTGCAATTTTCTCAAAATTTGATTTAGAGGAGGTGTACATCATTATAATATCACAAATCACACAGTGGTAAAATATATCTACTATAATTTGAACACTTAAATTACATGTACAAGGGGAATGTCATATTAAAGTTCCAAAGTACATTGCGTTTGTCTTTAGTAGGGTTTTCCACTCTTAGACAAAGCAATTAAGGAATGTTTTTAATTTTTGTGTGAGTTATTGGTGTGTAAATCACACAGACTTGTCAAGTAGACATATTCCATGAAGCAAACTAGCGCTTCATTAAAATTAGGCCTAAAATTAGGTGTGATTTACACACCAATAATTCACACTAAACTTAAAAACATTCCTTATATTTACATTTTACATGTTCAAAAGTACTAAAAATATACTCGATGTTTGAATTATTCGCTGCCCTATATCGTTACATTTTTATTAACGTCTCTGTAGCTCATTGTGACGTCACAGCGCGAGTTTCTCCATGTATATTTCCACGCGTGAGTATACACGAAAATGACATACAAATCAATTTCACAGTTGGCTTAGTAGAAAAACATAGGAAATGTAAATATAACATGTATAACCCAAAAATGATAGGTTCTCTATTTTTTATACAATATTCCCGACTGTGCAAAATTTTAAAGCTGAGAACTGATCAAGATATTGTGACAAAACAAAATTAGAAACGGACGGGCAAATTAGCCTGAAAATTCAAATGTTTCGCACGTACAGAATTCGGAGACTGTTGTTATGTAGCTCCTCGGGTAAAAAAGATTGACTGGAGAGCTACAGTGCCCCCTCCCCCCCCCCCCTTCTAGAAAAAAGGTACATTTATTGCAAATAAAAAGTTGGTTCTGGATATATTTCTCCAATATTTTTGTCAACTGTACAAGAACTCGACTTCCAAAAATTTCCTTAAACCTCTATCAACCACTCTCTTGGTTGACATTTGCATGAAGCGCGTTAGACCGAATTGTCTTTGTTTGCTTGTTTGTTTAACGTCCCTCTCGAGAATTTTTGACTCATATGGAAACGCCACCACTTGCCGATGGAAAGCTGCAAATTTTGACCTATACTCGGCACTTACGGCCATTGAGCAGCTAGGGATCTTTTTCGTGCAAGCACCTACTGCGACACAGGACCTCGGTTTATACGGTCTCAGATCAGCATGGCACATATTTGTAGCTAGATTGTCTCTGAATTCAAATGGTTTTGATTCGATCACAGCGATCGCTCTACCGACTCAGTTTATAGGAGGGAGTTGCGCAGAAGGCAATGTCAGATCACTAAACTTCCCTACCATAAATCAGCTCATTATCTACAAACACAGGAAAAGATCCGAAAAACCGTGAATAGTTAGAAATTTTCAAAATCTAAGGGCCATAACTTACATAAATTTAGATCAATCTACAAGAAACTTTTGATCCATAACAAGGTCATCATTATGAATAGGCATACCAAAATTCAGCTTTTTATCTACGAACACTGCGAAAACAAGTTGGAAAATACCGAGAACAAGAGCTATAACCTTCGTAAAAATAGGTCAATCAACACGGAAATGAAACTTAATCTGTGAATAGTCAATTTCAAGACATATATCAAAAATCGACTCACTATCTTTAAGCACTTTAAAAAAGACCAGCAAGCTAATTATGACGGAACAACGAACGGAAAGTACCACTATATATCCAAGCTATTTCATGGAGGGACCTAAAAATAAATGAAAACATTACAGTATACGAGATATCGTTTCACAACAAGAGTGTTGACTATAGTCTGTCTCACGGTACCAAGGACCTCACTTTTCGCCTCATATCTCAAAATGTATAAATACCTTGGTCTTCAAATTAGGTTCGATCAATAGATCATTTTTTTCCCAAACTTCCTCCATTTATCCGAACCCTCGAGTTCAACCAGTGTATTGACACAGCGGCAAATTCAAAGTCTACGGGGATTTAACATGGTAAACTCGTCCATTAGCGTCGAGATTACGGGGCAGGAAACCAGTTTATTGAGGGAGTAGTCGTTCTTTCCAAATTAAAATTACAAAAAATCCTAAAAATCCAACGAAAGTAATTCAGTGTGATTTGATAAATAATATAAGTATGTTTTTGCATTCAAATATATTTTGACGAGTTTTCTCATAAAATGAGAGAAAATAATCCGAATTCAATGCAGTACAAATTGTGGATATTGAGGTCACGCATTTCCTCTAGAAACGGATGTCGACATGGTCTGGACTCCGGTGCAAGAATGTGTTATTTACAGCTTCACTTGTTGAAAATGTAGCAAGATGGTAAGTTGTCGTCCTTTTCTTTATTAATTTTTATACCATATATATACCCAAGAAAGAACTGTTTCAAATGCTAAGAATAAGTCAGAATGTTCGCTTAAAGTGCCCCATAACATGTTACATGTCAAAGAAAAAAAAAACAAAAACGAAAACTGACATTTTTATCAATTTATTTCAAATCATAAAACTATAAGAAGAAAAAAAAAAAAGAAAGTGTAGAAATACACCTTTTAATTATAATGACAATGCCTTTTTTTAATTACAAGTTAGTAGTTTTTTATTTATTCATTTAAATGCATGATCATGTAGGTCGATCTACTTTCACTTTGAACACTTCATGCATTTGGCTGATCCATAAAAAGCAAAATTTTACATTTTTGTGAAGTGTCAGCACCTTGACGAATCACTTTACAGTTTTTTTTTTATATATAACAAATATTTTTGACACTCAAGATTTTTTTGTGAACTTTTTAGTTTTAATTTTACAGGACAGATCGAGTTATAATTAAGGGTATTCTGTGTTTTATCGAACAGTGCTATGGGATATTGCTAGGTTGTAGGTGTAAAATATATAAATAAATGCTACATGTTGATCGATGCAGTCCAGATTTTACTATATTTTAAGAGTTAACTTATCTACTGCATACTTTGCCCAAGATTAAAAATCAACATAATTTATCCACTAAAATACTTGCATTGATAAAATTGCATGAAAATCAAAAGATGTTATATTTCAATTCTAGGCACAAGTGCATATGGTAAATACCATATAACGATTATTTGCATTATATTGCATTACAGACATACTAATGCTAAATTTGTAGCATTAATTACATATATCAGAGATTCACATTACCGGTATCTGATTTACAGCTACTGTTCTAGATTTTTTAATATTTTGTTGGGGGAGGGGGTGCTTAAGGTTACACATTAAATGCACTTAATGCAGTGTTTCTCATTTTAAAAATGTTGAGTAGAAAAATTTCCCACCTAAATAAACAATGCATTTATTTATCTATCTTTATTTGACATAATCCAAAGAATTTTTTTTCCACTATTTGATAAAATTGTTATTATTATTAATGTCTAATATCCTGAAAATATTCTGTAACTTTTAAATAAAGGACAATCAGTCGGTGAATGAATCTTTAACACAATTCATGTCTCACATTATACAAATTCTCTCATGTGATTTTTTTGTCTTTCTGTGTTTACAGTTTTATATATAATTCACTTTCGATTCTGTGATTATGTTCAATTTACTGTATAATAATTTTCTAGTTTTAAACTTTTCAAAAAATAAGTTTTTTTTATTTCAAGACATTTTTTATTGTCGAAATATGTTCTAAGTTTACCTGACATACAACCCTTAATTGAGACTTCTATTTACTAAAACACTAAGTATCTTTAAAAAAAATCATCTTTCATAATTTCTTTTACATGTAGATTTTTCTTTAAAAATATTAGTTTTAATATTTACATCCCCCATAGTAGACCCATTTTGTTCAAACACCACAAAAAGAAAATCAAGCAAAAAATCCATACATAACCAAAATTTATACATCTGATCATGTATTTTAAGGACCCTCTATATACCAATGAAAAATGTTTTTAAGGCTCTGAGAAAATTATATCATATAAAGATATAAATATGGAGTTTATCTAATTATATTAGTATTTAATTTTCAACATAGGGTACCTGCCATTTATCCCCAGGAAAAATATTCAAAGACAATGAATTGTTGGTGAACTGAAAACACCGTTGCTTACTTGAATGGCAAAAATTCATGCAAATAAGGCGTTCAATTAATTCAACTAGCCCAAATGAAATGTTTAGAATTTTTTAATTGATTACAAATTGAATAACAAATTTAGATTTCAATTTTATTTCATTTTAGATCTAAGGGCAGATCACTTTAACTGCAAAAAATACCATGGAATTGGAACTCTTTAGTGTGCAATGTATAGAGGGTTCTTAAGTATGAACAGTATTCTAGCACAATAAATAAAAGGTCAAGGTCAAAACACTAACATAATAAAGGTCAAAAAGCAGAGATCATTTAAATTGTAAATGGGCACATCACTGATCTGGTTTGTGTCCCTTTTCCAGTTTATTCATGTTATTCAAGACTATT